CCTTTATCTAGATTTACCCCCATTATTAACATATTCTCATATTTGCTTTATAATAGTCTTTTTTCTTTTTGTTTTGCTGAATGATTGCTTTTGCTGAACTATTTATAAATATTCAAGTATGATCTCCTTAGAGTAGGGTCATTCTCTTATTCTAGCTCAATGTGTTTATCAAATTCAAAAATTACTATTCCTCATTCTAATAGAACTCCCCCTACTGGCTCTAGAATCAAATCCTGGGTCACATATTGAATTTAATTGCTCTACATCTTTTGTCTAGTTTAATCTGGAACTTAGCTCTATTTGTCTTTATGACATTGATATTTTAAAGAGAACATAGTTGGGTTGGGGATATAGCTTGCCTAGCATACGTGAGGCCCTGAGTTTAATCCCATCACTGTTTTTTAAAAAGGAGCTTATTGTTTTTTACAGTGACTCTCAGTTTGGGTTTGTTTCTTTCCTAATGATTATATTTAGCTCATGCATTTTGACAAGTATACTACATAAGTGATGTCATGTCCTTTTGACCTTATACTATTAAGCTCTGTGCCATATTAATTGTGAGATACATGGGGATGCTAGAGGCCACTGGACATGGAGCTTGGGGGTCCCAAAATGAGCTGTATCTACAGACTCGTTTGGATATCTTCTCACACAGAACTTCTTTGGAGCCATGTGTGCAGTGGGCTGTCTCAGAACTGAAGATAGAGTCCAAGAGTCCTCAAAATTAAAGAATGGAAAGGGAAGAGAAGAGAATGGAAGATAAGGGAATGAGTGATATGCAAAAAAAAAAAGATTGAAAAAGGACCAAGTGAAAGGGAGGAGGAGAATCAAGTTAGTTTATTATCTGAAAGCCAAGGAGGGAGAAATTTTCAGAAAATATGGGCTGATCAGCAACTTCAGAGGTGTTTGGTAAAATGAAGACTGAGAAGTGTGCACTGCATGTGGAAATAGATTTCAGTGAAATGCTGAGGAAGGGAGATGGTAGAAGAGCCACATTACAGAAGAGGAGTGAGAACAGGTTTTACAATTACTGTAATGATGCAGGATAAAGAGAGAGGGGCTGAGGAGTTCACAAACCATACCCAGCTGCATGCTCCCTGGTGGTACAGAGGGCAGACAAGATCTGGAGCCTGAAATCAGATAACAAGGTGCCTGGCAGATGGAGGAAGTACACTGTGGGAGATTCAGGGTCAGGGGACACTTGGAAGTCTAGTCCTTGTATGTTGGAGGTTTTTGGGGAACTCAGGAAAATAGTTTACTGAGTGTTGAAATCACTCTTAGTTTGGGCCTCAGAGTACTGAGAAGAGCCTCTTTTTAGAATTATGTGTTAACAGGCAACTCAACTCCTATTTGTGTTCTCATTAAGATCTGCTTCTTGGCCTGCAAAGCTAGGTGCAGAGTCTCAGCAGTTGTATAGCCACTTAGAAAGAATTTAAGCAACTTCTACGAACTTGGCCCAGTGTCTGGAACTGCTCTGGGTCTGATTGGAAACTACCATCCCCTTCCTCCCATCCTGAGTTGGAGCTTGTGAGATAGACTCCTTTGAGACCCTTGGAGTTAACTACTAATTATGTTTTGTGATCTAATTCTGTGACCAGGAAGGATGCCCTTCCCCTCTGCAGAGTTGATGTGTCAGGGCTCACTCTCTCTTTTTTTTTTATTTTCTTTCTCTCTCTCTCCCTTCCTTCCTTCCTTCCTTTCTTTCTTTTATTTTTTTTTTGGTACTGGGGTTTGAACCCGGGGGCTTTACCACTAAGCCACATCCTCAGCCATTCTACTTAAAAAAAATTTTTTTTAGTTGTAGATGGACAGCATGCCTTTATTTTATTTGTTTCATTTTTATGGGGTGCTAAGGAATGTTCTACACTGAGCTATAGTCCCTGGTTGTACTTTTTAAAATTTTGAGGCAGGGTCTTGCTAAGTTGCTTAGGGCCTAGCTAAGTTACTGAGGCTAGGTTTGAATTTGTTATCCACCTGCCTCAGCCTCTTGAGCCACTGGGATTACAGGTGCGTGCCACCACACCCAGTATGTAAGGGCTGTTTGATTCATGTATTTCACATATATTTATATATATATTTTTTAGTTGTAGATGGACACAATATCTTTATTTTATTTTTTTACATGGTGCTGAAGATTGAACCCAGTGCCTCATGCATGCAAGGCAAGAGCTCAACCACCGAGCTACAACCCCAGCCCTCAAATATTTTTTTAAAAAACCTAGATGAGACAATTGGGAACAAAACAGTTAACAAGGCACACATAGTTCCAGCCTTTATTAAACTTATAGTCTGGTGAGAGTCATATTAAAATAGGCAAACATATAAGTGAATAAAATAATTACTTATTGGAGGAAATACTATAAAAGACATATTAAGATATTGAAAAGGAAGGTTATTTAGATAAAGAGGTTAACTCTATAATGAATTGGTTAGGATAAATGCTGCTGGCTGCTGAAAAAGATAAACCCCAAGTTAACAATGCTCAGACTGTAGATATTATGGCTTATAGAAGGGCTAATCAGCAGGGGCAAGAGAGGCACTGTTCCATATAGTCATTTGGATACCTAGGTTAATAGGATTTCTGCCATCTTCACCACTTGCTTTCCATAGCTTCTTGGGGGCAGCCAGCAGAGAGGGAAAGAGAGTTAAGATTTTACCTGGGAAGTTTTCATGGGCCAGGCCTGGAACTTGTGTACATTACTTCTGGTCACATGCCTTAGCCCAGAACTCAATGTGGGAAACTGATAATGGATCCCAAAGATATATCTATATCGTAATCCTTCAGAACCTGTGGACTTAATTGTAAAAACAATGTTTGTAGATGTAATTAGTTTAAGGATCATGAAATGACAAGATCATCCTGGATTATTTTAGCAGCCCACAAATGCAGTCACAAGTGTTCTTCTAAGACATAAAGAGGGGACAGACAGAAGTGCTTTTTTCTCTACCACATTGCTGGTATATTCGTCTTTAATGGATATGCCTGGTCATCTTAATAAATCTTCATGAGGAAGCTTTTTTCTCAATCTCTACTATGATAGAGACCTTGAATAATCATAGAAAAATGAGACACAATCTATCTCAAAGCATATAATTCAGGATAGTGTCATATATATTTTTTATCTCATATCCCAGGAGTCTTGTAGGA